AAAAAAAAAAAAAAGCCTGGATGCAGCAGATATTCCAAATACCTGGGGAAAGAAAGACTGTGAAACTTGGTTTGTGAAAATCCCTTGGTATAATATTGTTTGCCTAATTTCTAAATAACAAATTTAAAATAGAAATTAAGTTCTCCTTGCCGTTGACCGCAGTGGTGTCAGTAAGCATTGGTTAAAGAGCTGGAGTCTGGGATCCCAGGGGTGAATTCTGAGGCTAAATCCTGCCTCTGTCACTTATTGGCTGTGTGACTTAAACAAGTTCCTTGAAACCTGTTTGGTCTTCATTTCCACATCTGTAAAACAGATGTCATCAGAACTACCTCTGGGTTTTAAGAATTAAAAGACATTTTGAATATACATAATAGCCATAGCAACAGACTCAACATACCTAGGATCAGGAAGGTGTTATAGGAGCAGGCAAGGCTTTCTTCTGACTCACATAAGGTCACCATATGGCAGAGGCAACTCAACAGCAACTAACAACAAGGAATTTAAAATAAAATCATTATTTCAAAAATTTTGGTGCAGAACCTAGCATCTGCAGGCATGAATTTAGATTTATTTTGTCACTTTCTAGGTGTGCAATCTCAGACAAGTCATTTAACCCCTGAGCCCATATTCTGTAAGACAGTCACACAGGTGTGTTGCATAGTGTTGTTGTGTGCATTAAATGAAACAACAGATAGTTAATCAATAAATATTAGCTGTTGTTATTACAAAAGGAAGCTCTAGGATCTTGAATGCCGATTATAATTCTGGGTTTAAAAAATGTAAGCTATATCTCTTGTGTGGTTGGTTGGTTTGATAGCTTGCTTGCTTATTTGTTTTGCTGAGACCAACTGGGAGGCCCCAGAGTGTTCATCAGTCATACAGCCATGACTTGATCAGGGCCAGAACCTTGGGAAACTTTCCTCAACTTTGAACCATCCATTGCCCACCCAATCTCACCCTTCTTAGCTGGTTGGATTGCCAGCCCTGGGAAAGACTTCTTCATAAGCTGGAGTGCCCAGAAGTTTCAGTGAAAAAATGAGTGCTGCCAGAATTTTCAAAAGAAAAAGGAAACTGGGACAGTTTATTTGGCAAATGACAAAAACAGTCACAGAATTCGTATTTCTTCTCTAGACCTGAAGGGCTTTAAAAATCTCCACAAACTCTTCCAACTGTTTCGTTAATTAAAATGCTAAGCCCCTCAGAGCTGGGAAATATGCCTAAGCAAATGGACTAAAAATGAATTGAAAATGGTCTACATTGAATGTGCCCTTGGTTTATGGGCTTCCCTTAAAGAACAGCTGTCTGCTGGACCTGAAGCCAGACCTAGGAGATGGAAAGCAAATTTGTTTATTAAAGTGGTTTCCAAGGCTTACTGCTGGGGATCACCCAGACCCTGGGTGGCACATAATGCAGTATATTCCCTACACAATTGCATCCAGTACCACAACCAACAGGCAACCCCACAAGTCTACCAATGAGAAAACTGGATCAGATTTTATTGTGAATAGAGCCTTAGGAGTTAACAGTGCATTCTAATATATGTCATTTTTTAGAAGTAAATATTTCAAGACAGGAAGCAGCTGTGATATTAATGAAAACGTTGTTACACCTGCAGGCATGAATCTGTATTTGTTCTGTCACTTACTAGCTGTGTAATCTCAAACAAGTCATTTAACCTGTGAGCCTGTTTTAGCGTCTGTAAAATGGTCACAAAGGTATGTTTCATAGTTATTGTGTGGATTAAATGAAATAATCATTTAATTACCTTAAAATGGCTAGCACATAGTAGGTGCTCAAAAATGTTTGCTTACTCAGGGTGCTCACTTTGTAGCTACCAGAGTCTCAGAGAAGCTGAGTGACTTGGCCAAGGAATCAAGGCATAAACCCAAGCCTCCTAATTTCAAATTCCGTGCCCTCTCCACTAACACATCCTGCCACAAGAGCCTCTACATTTATATAAATTTTGCTTCTTGGGGGTATTATTTCCTTATTATAACAGCTTTTGGATTGCTTAGAACAGTCAGGGTCCAGAGGGATGCGGTCTTGCTGACACCTTGATTTCAGACTCCTGGCCTCTAGAATTGTGAGACAATGGGTATCTGTTGTTTTACACCAAAATAAGAAAAAGGAAAGCAAGAAAGAAAAAATAAAAAGAAGCAAAATATCTCTGAACCCAGATAGTGAGGAATAGAGGTAACATTCATGAAGTCATTAAACATGTACTCACAAGCCAAGCTGCTCTGATCCTTGTAGTTGAGAGTTTTACTGTTTGGTTTGGATCATAATTCTTGATTTTGAGAGTTTTCTAGGTGGTTATACTTGAACATGAGATCTTCAAGAATATGAGGTAAAGGTTTAAAGTAACTCTCAAAGGATTTTTGGCATACTACCTAAATGAAGAATGAGAAGGTTTAAAAATTGGTTATATATGGGCTGTTAAAGATGCATGTGTGTCATCCTGTTTAAAATGGGAGTATCTGTAAAGATACACTATGGAAGAACCCCTAACATCATACAAAGCAAGGAATGGAAGCTAAGAATTTTAGAGTTTCCACTAACCGTAGACCTACTGAAAAGTTACAATTAATGGTTAACAAACAAATGTTCTACTGCCAAAGCAGAACATCTGCTAGCCCAAAATAAGCTGAGAGTTACCTTATTTCCCATCATCTGGAAGTGTAGATAGAAACTTTTGAGGTATCCCAAGACCTGAACCACCATTTCACACCTCAACATCAGTTTTCTCTTTCTACATTAATTTATGAAGAATCTGGTAATCCCACCAACATGGGTGGTACAGCATTAGACAATGCCTAGAAATGGGCCCCCCAAAAAACCAAACCAAACTCACTGCCATCGAGTCCATTCTGACTCATAGTGACTTGCTTTGGGTTTCCCAGGCAGTAAATCTTTATGGATGTAGATTGCCCAGTTTTCCTTCTGTTGAGTGGCAGTTAGCAGTCAAATGCCTTCGGCACAACACCACCAGAGCTCCTCCAAATAATCAGGAAGAATAGGACAAGGCAAGCTTTGCCAATTAGATAAACAGAGCCTAGTTAGACAGTTCTTCAACTCAGAATGAGTGAAAGCAAATAACATACACACAGTATCTACGGAGAAAAATTCTTTAAGATAAAGAATTAAAATATGCTGTGTATTGCTTTTGGGAGAGAAGTACACCCCTACAACTGATTTACTATTGTAGAAGGTGGTTCATATCCTGCACAAAACCAAAAAAATAAAAACTCACTGCCATCAAGTCGATCCAATTCGTAGTGACCCCTCCTTGGGTTTCCGAGGCAGTATCTCTATGGAAGTAGATTGCCCAATCTTCCTTCCAAAGAGTGGCTGGTGGGTTTGAACTGCCAGCCTCCTGGTTAGCAGTCAAATGGCTTTGGCACTACGCCACCAGAGCTCCTATATCCTCCACAGTTTGTGAGAAAGCATGGCTCCTCTACATTGTGAGCAAAAGGCCATCAAGAGGAAAAGTTGCGACATGAGAGAGCATTAAAATGCATGGAGACAGTAAAGAAGGAAGCATTGCAAAGTAAAGAGGCACACCCCATCAACATTGAATCTGTGGCTTGGTGACACAATTACAAAGCTCTTCTAGAAGACAGTGGAAAGCATGAGGACACAAAACAATGGTGACAGGCACAGACGAGAAAACCACCTAAAATTGATAGGGACTACAGGAGCTCCAGAGAAAGAACTAAACCAAAATAAGTGGGCTATATTGAAACACTTGAATCAGAGGAGTAACAAGATAAATCTCTGACACAGAGGTAGAGCATCATCAAATCTCTCTCCCTCTTTCTCTCTCTTTCTCTGTGTGTGTTTGACAGAGGAAGGAAAGAAAATTGCCTTTTAAAAGAATAATTTAAACATAAATGCTGTTTAATTGTAAAAGAATTATGTTTTCTCTGAACAGTTTGTATAGAAATTGTCAAATGGGAAGCTAATTCACAGTGTAAACTTTCACTGAAAGCACAGTGATATTATTAGAAAAAAATAAAAGAATCAAACCATATGGAAGTATAGCAAACAGAATGTAGAAGCCTCCTTTAGTACACCCCAGTTCCTGTCCCCATCCCTGAAGTAGCCACTGTCAACAATTTGATGTTTTTATTCCAGTTTTTCCTTCTGCATATGCAAAAATCCTTATGTAC